AAAAAAAGCATCATTTAGTGCAAATAGTTTAAATCAATCAATATCAACATTAGAAACCGATGAATTTAGTAGTTTTATTCAAGAAGAATATGGAGCTTGTTGGGGAACGCTTAAATTCGAAGATTCGATTAGTGATTATTACAATGAAGTAAGAATTTTTTCTATTAATTTTTTCTTCTTTTATTATTATTATTATTCTAGGCTCGACCATTTCTTTGTATTGATCATACTGCTGATTTGCATGTTCTGCGTCATTTTATGGTTAATGAATGGAAATTACAGGGAACAAATATGGTTATACCTGTTCTAAGCGGTATTACAAATCATAAACCATTTAAAAATGTTAAAATGACTGAAACATTAAAAAGTGGTATTAAAAATGTATGTGTATTAGATATATATATAGAATTCATATAAAAGAAAAACACGAACTGAACTTATTATTTAATTTAGGCTGCAAATGCATCTGAAATATGGTTTATAACAAATGGTATTGATGCTGGTATGCCACAATTAATTGGATCAGCATTTCGAGATGAAACTGTAGGAAATAATTAGACTTGAAAATTTAAAGAAACGAAAAAACTTATTTTTCTAGACATTAAGACGAGCTGATGATGCATGGGCTATACAAATGGAACGATCACCAAAAAAACGTAAAGCACTTATTATAATTGGTATTGTATGTGATGATGAAATAAAAGAGGCAATTGAATTTAAATTTGGTAAAGATCGAAGTAAAATGGTATTAAAAAAAAACAACGTACACAAAAAAAACAAATATAAATTTCTATTTTTTTCGTATAGGAAGTTAAAGTCCCATCACGTAAACGTGATCAATTATCATTAAATAGTGATCATACACATTTTATAATTATTCGTGAAGAACCTGTTGGTTCATATGTATCAAAGAATACAGGAAAAAAATCGACGACAAATGAAACTAATGATAAATCTTTAGAAAAATTAACTGATTCAGCTGGAAGTGCTACAAATAAATTTCGTAATCGTTTTGAAGATTTTTTACATCAAGAAGCATCACAACAACAACAACAAGCACCACCAGCAACAACAGGTTAGAAGAAAAACAAGAAGAAAAACAATTTTGTTAAATGAATTCTTTTAGATTCTGTATTAGAAACATCAAAAAAAACAAATCCATGGACTGAAGATGGTTTTCCAATGGTATGCACATTAGTTCGTGGTACACCTGGAACTATTGAACTTTTATATCATAAAATACAACAAGAAGTTCCTGTTGTTATTCTTAAAGGAACTGGATCAGCTGCTGATATAATTGCATTTGCTTATGAAGAAATGAATGCTAAGTAAAAAAATTTATATTTTAAATTCAATTTCAATAAGTAACTTTTTGTTTTGTTTTAGAAATGATCGAGAATATGAAGATAGTTATTTAAAAGTTGAATTAGCACGACGTTTACTTGATGAATATCCTGCATTAAAAGATAATAATGTACGACGAAATGAAATTCGTGATCATATTATAGCAATTGTTAAAAAAGCTGATCAAGGAAAAAGAAAATTTTTAACATTTCTTGATGTTAATAGTACAACAGCATCATTAAATGATTTTCATAAATTTATTCTTTCAGCTCTTTTACAATGTATGAATAAAATATTTATCATTATTATTTTTTCTATTGATTTTGTTTCGTTTTAGCTCAAAAAGCTGTAACTGGTAGTAAAGTTAATGTTCAATTAAAACGAAATCTTCTTTTAACACTTGATTGGAATTTACCGGATTTAGCTTTATCAGAAATTTTTCAACGTGATGATGATATGAAATATACAATTCAAACAGATTTATTTGATAAAGCTTTACTTGGAAAAAAACTTGAACCATTTGTTGATTTATTTCTTGATCGAGAATTTGTTTTACATCGATATTTAAAATCTGATAAATTAGTTGCTTTATTTAATCAAGCAAAAGATCGAGAATTTTTAACAACAACATCACTTGAAGGAATTCTTGGTTTAACTGGAGTAAATAAATTGTTTTAGTTTTGTTTATTGAATGATATATATTCATTGAATAGGATGAAGAAGAAATGCCTGAAGATTTTGTTGAACATGGTCTTAATATAATTGTTAAACGTTTAACTGGTATTAGCCATTTTTTTAGTAAACATGAAATGGATTGTAATGCTATGGGAATTTATTTTGGTGATAAATCAGATAAAGGAGTTCAACGACAAAGAATACGTGCAGAAAAAAAGGTCAGTTAGTTTTTTTAATTCTATTCTGAAAATAAAACAATGTCTTATATTTTAAACAGGCTCTTCGACATTTAATTATTTATTCTGTATTGATGAATCGACATCAGTTAGCAAAAATTCTTTGGAAACGTTCATCTGAACCCATACCATTAGCATTAATTTGTTGTATGATGTTTAAAAAATTAGCACCATATTGTCATGAATCTTATCAAAGATTATTAATTAATAAACAAGCAAAGTAAATTTATAGAAAAAATAAATCGATCGATTATTCTAAATAATTAAATTTTGATTCTAGAGAATTTTCTGATTGTGCTGTTGGTGTTCTTGATAAAGCATTTAATGAAGATAATATGAGAACATTTGAAATGCTTGATGAAAAACATCCAGTAAAATCTTATTCTATATCGTAATAAGTGTTTTTTATTGCGTATTTAGGATTGGAATAACATGGCAACAGTTGAATTAGCTTATAATGCTGAAAATAAAGAATTTATGGCACATGCTGCTTGTCAAAAATGGGTTACACGACAATTTTATGGTGAAATTACTCCAAGAGAACTTTCATGGGGATTATTTAAATGTCCTGATTATTTCAAAGTAATAAAATTTATATAAAAACGAAACTAAATTATTTATTATTTTATTGAAAAGATTATATGTAGTGCTATATTTATATTTCCAATGTGGTTTTGGATAAATTTCTCTCCAATTGGTCAAGCACCACCTGCACCCAAAAAAGCCAGTGATTTACAAAATGATAAAAACACATCGAAAGAACCAGACGCAGCAATTGAAGGTTTATTATTTATCATTTTAAAATTTTAATATCTATGAAAATAAATTTAGAGGGAAAACAATTAGCTGAACATGTTGGACAAGTGAGCGTTCGAGAAGGAGTAAGTTTTATTTTCTTAACAATTATTTTTTTTATTCATTTTATTTATTATTTAGAATAGTTTTTTTCAACGAACAAGACGTACTCTTCAACAGAAGTTTAAACGAAATAAAAGTGCACCACCACCAACGAATTCTGATGAAGAACCAATGAGTCATTTTGAAGAAATTCAAGTTTTATGGTCGGCACCTATTACAAAATTTTATACAAATTTTGTTGCTTATATTGCATTTCTGTCATTTTTTACATTGGCTGTTATGTGGCCAACATGTGGAAATTTATTATTAGATTGTATTGTTTGGTTTTGGACAGCATCAATTGCATTTGAAAATACTCGTGTTGCTTATGAAAAATATTGTGTAAGAATCTATTGATTTATACGATATTTATCAAAGATTTATTTTGTATTTAGTCACAAAGTAGTTTACCTTTACAACGAGCTGTATTAGAAGTTATTGTACAAACGACATTCCTTGCACTTTATCTTATTTTTCGAATTATTGGTTTATGGAATTTCGGAAGTAAATAAGAAAAAGAAAATTAATCGATTTATTTTCAATATTTTTTCGTTTATTTTTCTTCTAGCTTGTCAAATTTTGACAGCTAAAGCAATATTAGGCATTGGATTGATTTATTATTATTATCGAATATTATTCATTTTCTTTCCAATTAGTCCTAAACTAGGTCCGATGATGATTCGTCTTCGTTGTATGGTAAATTGATTTTTAAATATTTCTTTTGATTGTATAAAACTAATTAACTATTATAGATTATGGATGATTTTTTTACATTTTTACAATTATTCGTTATTTTTATGATCTCATCTGGTGTTGCTATAACTGCAGTACTTTATCCACATTATCCATTGGGTTTAGAATTATTTACCAAAGCTTTTGTATTTCGTGGTTTAATGGCATTATTTAGTAGTGAAATGGCTGATTTGAAAAATTCACATCAAGCATGTGCAATAAATGCATCAAGGCAAACAGAAAGTGAATATGCTTGTCTACGATTATCACATGGTCTTGCATTTAAATGTAAAATAATTTGATTTTTATTGAAAACAAAAATAATCATTTTTTTGTTTTATTAAAGATGATAATCCTGCTGCATATAGTCATTATGGAATATCAGCACCCAAATGTAATCAAACATCATGGATAGCATGGGTTTTACTTATACAATATTTCTTCTTGGCAAAACGTTTTCTTACATCACTTTTAACAGCTATGTTTGGGTAATTGTCATTAAAATAAATTCGATTAAATTCAATCATTTTAACAAAATAATTCTATTTAGTTTAACTGGAGCAAGAGTACAAAGTCAATCGGAACAAATTTGGTTGTATAATCGTTATGAAATTGTCATGGAATATGCTAAACGACCACGTTTACCACCACCTTTTGTTGTTATTTCTTATATTGGTAATGTTTTGTAGGAAATAGGAGCTAAATATTTTTCTCTCTAATACTAAATTGTTCAGAAATTCTATTGAAAAATCGAGTAAATGCGATATTTCGAGGTTTTTGATACGATCAATCAATGTCATACATAAATATATCAAGGTTTACAATCATTAATATGAAGGTAGTATGACAAATTTCATAGAAATTCTAATGAGTTATTTTGTTATATGTCTTATCAATACAAAGATTAAGTATCTAATCATAATCTTAATTTGTTTTTAGGTATGCTAATTGCAAGTATTAGTCGACGTTGCGTTTTAAGATTAAAAGAATATTCTGATAAGAAAAATAGCGCTGGACATCGACCACGTGCTGTATCGACAGCATCAAGTTTTCAAATTTATCGTGACAATGTCAATCCTAATAATAATGTTACTACTCCGCTTGTTTCAAAAATGGATACGAATAATCTAGAAGAATTAAATAATAAATCAGTTGAAGTCATTGAAGATCGTTCATTACTTGGACGTTTACTTAGTTGTAAACCATGTCGACAAGTTACTGACAATCAAAAACATCAACTTGTAAATATATATATAAATTCATTATTCGTTTTTAATTAATTATTCAAATCTATTTTTAATAGGAATTATCTAAACGGAATTGGGAAGATAGTGAAGCTAATATCTATTGGAAATATAAAGCAAAAGAATTTTATGCTAAAACACAAGAAGCGGATAAAGTACAAGAAAAACTTGATGGTCTTACTAATAAGTAAAAATAAATAATAGAATATTTTTTCTGTATTAATATATTTACTTTAGTGTAACAAGTGTACAAAAAGATATGGATGTACAACGAAAATCATTGAGACAAATAAATGATCGTGTTGTTTCATTAGAAAAGATAATGATTGATTCACATATATTACTTGAAAAAATTCGTTCAACTATTCAACAAGAAGATAAATCTTTACCTGAAAGTCAAAAATTTATTCATATTTTATCAAGAGAATCACCTTATACGTATACAAATGAAGCACGATTTCCAGTTACAGAACGATATATTTCATGGAAGGTTATTTAACTTCATAATTTTATTTTGTAAATAAATTTTCAAAGAAAATATTTTCATTTTAGATTCCATTTGATTTATATGATCCAACAATAATTGTTTTACCAAAAGACCATCAATGTTTTCGAGATGATGAACGACCATTTGTTGAACCTAATATGTAAATTTAAATTTTATGCATAAATATATAAAAAAAAATGTATTATTTAGATTAAAATTACATTCAGATGATGATGAGGAATCTGATGTAGCTATTGATACATTAGTTACACCAACAACTCCAACTGTTCCATCAGGTACATTTGGTGCTATTGAACCTGTAGTATCAATAATACCAAGTGATTTTATTATTCCATTCTTAGCAAATAAATGGAATCAAATTGTTGAAATAGAATTACCTGATGGAAAAAAGGTTTTTGAAAAATAATATTTGTTTTTTCAAAATTTTTCTAATTGAAATTTTGTTTTTAGATGATTGTTGATCGAAAAACTTGGATAACAAATCCTGGAGATAAAATAGGAATAATGTATAATTTAGATACTCAGTTATTATTACCATTAAATCCAATGGGTCGAACAGGTGTACGTGGTCGTGGTGCTTTAATGCGATGGGGACCCAATAAATCTATTATGGCTATAATAACACGATGGAAAAAACATCGTGGTCAATTTGCTGTTATTGATGGACAAAGAATATTAGAAGCTTTAGTATTTAAAGATAAACTTACTAATGATTGGAAATTACCTGGAGTATAATATTTTTGTTTTTTTTTCAAAATTTAAATAGTTTTAATTTTGAATTTTTTAGGGAAAAATTTTAGGTATTGAAACTCCTTATGGTGCTGTATGTCGTAGTTTTAATAAACTTGCTCTACAAGATGATGATTCCGAACATAGTTTATCGTTACAAGAATCTGATATGATTAATGTATAATATTAAAATTTCTATATTTAATTAATATCATATTTATTTACCTAGCATTTCGAATCATTTGCTCGTTCGTCTACTAGTTCTGATGAACAAACTGGATTTGAAAAGCATATGGTCTATCAAGGTTTATTAATGACAAAATTTACTATTATTTCATTTATATATTTTATTTTTAGGATATATTGATGATGTACGCAATACAGACAATTCTTGGGTAGAAGCAGAAATATGGAATTTTCATTATGGTTCAGCAATATCATTTCCTAATCTACGTACAGATGTATGTCTGATATTTTAAATGAAAAAGAATAAATTTAAAATTTGCTCTTCTTTTTTGTTTCTTCTAGGGTATGGCATTATGGAAAGACGTGACGTATAATTCTCGAGGTTTTCTAATGCAAACATCAATATTACGTGAAATAGCTCGAATTCATGATGCTTATTTTGAGTAAATTCTAATAAAATCTTAATGTGATATTTCGCAATTAGCATTCATTTATTCCATAAAGAAGAAAAAAATCGTATGCATGAATGTATACTTTATCTTGCTCTTTATTGTATTTACGTTATTGTTTTGCTTTTATTTTTATTTCATTTTCTTTTTTCTTTTCTTTTTTTGTATCAGTATGATAATGCTGATTTTCATTTGAGCTTAACAAACTTAGACATCTATTTTTATTTCTATATATTTGTTAAGATCTATACGAATAGAGATTTAGCTATATAAATTTTTAATAAATTATTAATATATTTCTTTAGAAAATTCAAATAAGGATATTAAAAAACAATAGATTTCTTTTTTTCGTTTTGACGAAGAAGAACTTATAGCACGTGAATTTAATTAATTGACGATCGATTTAGAAAAAAACTTGATAAAGCCGTGTTTGAACATCTATTGAAAATAAATACTCTTTTTTTTTGTTATAATTTATTTATCTATACATATATAATTATCCAAAGAGTTTAATTCTTATTTTTTGTATTTGAATTTTATTCATTATTGTATTGTACTTTTTCTTAAATACAAGATTAATATGAATTCAAATTGTATCGTTTTATTAATCATATAAAATTAGACTCAATCCTGTAATAGCTACAGAATTAAATCTATGAATGAATCTCATTTTATATACGAATCTGAATATGATATAAATATAAGTCTTTGAAAAAAAAGTATTGTCTACATTAAGCTATTAAATATGCCAGACCATTAAGGTCATAAACAACTGTATTTGTCATCTCATATAAATTCTTTTCAAATATCTTTTGTCCCTCCTACTCAAATACAGTGACATCATAACTTTTCTGTTCTCTTTTGATCTTTTATTTTTTGACGATATTCTCATATTGCTCTTGAATTTGCAGAGAATATCATTTCTTTATAACATTTTTATAAATAAAACTAAATAAATAGAATTCTATGGAAATAACGAGTCCTATAATTTATATACTAATGATGACAACAGTAAAAGTGATTTCGATGAACTTGAACTTTCTGATGAAGATTTGGATATATATATATGCAGATGAGTTGAATTCAATGAAAACAAATTCGACCTTCGAAGGATTAGACTAATAGTACAGATTTTAAAAGTAAAAATTCGAACGTATAATAAACTAAGATTGATAAAAACAGATTTTTCTATAAAATTAAAACGAGTGATATACGATCATCCAAATCTACTACAGCTTAATCATCTAAAAAAACAATTGATATAAATTCAAATTTGATCGTGTATTCAATAGATTTTCGAGAATCTATATAATTAGAGGTGTAAGTCGATAGGCAGCGGCGATTGGAAAATTTATAAAAAAAAATTTTTTTCCAAATTGAAACATATCTTTATTTCAATATATCAGTCATAATCTGTTCAAGAAAAGTATAGACAACAACTTTTACTTTCTTTCATATTGTATGTACAACACAAGATGCAAAAATCGAATTAAGATAAGCAAACAATCATTAACAATATTGCCAATTAAATAAAAATCAATATAAAAGAATGAAAATTTAATTTTCACACAGATAGCTGCAGTTCGAAATTTTTATAAATTTTCTCGGTTACTGGCGCCGACGGCGGCTGTGTTTGTCAGAAGAAAATCGGCGACGGCGACGGCTGCGTTGACCGACCGGCTTACACCTCTATATATAATTCTGATATTCATTCAAGTTTATTGTACTTCGAATTTGCAATAATATTATACATAAAAATTTATGGATAAACAAATAACTAAAATATCTGATCTTTATCGTGATATATGGTTTGAAATCTTTGCATATTTTTATGTTGATGAACTTTTTCATACATTTTTTAATGTATTAAATGATATTGATTCTATTTTCTTACACGATAACCAACTTCGTTCTCATGTTCGTATTGGTTATAGATCATCAACAAATATTCTTTTAAAAATCAATCCAAATCAAGTCATATCGCTTTCAGTTGTCGAACTGGACAAAAATCAAATTAATATTAATAATATGATTTATCTCAAATCAATTATAATTAGAGGTTCAAATACTGATAAAGAAATTGAAGATTTATTAATACAAATGATTTTATTAAGAGAAATAAAGAACCTTTCAATTTCACTTTATTGTAATAATAGAGGTCCAGACTTATTAAATCTTGCATTACGTATACCTGGTTTAAAAACACTTTATATTGATCATATGGTTGATTGGGTAATAGATAATCATCCTGCACAAATAATACAATCAATTAAAAATCTTCATTTAAATTTGTATTGCTATCTTGAGTATATACAAAGAATTTTATTAAACTTACCAAATATTCGAACTCTTCGAGTAAAATTACGTCGTGGTGAAAAATATTTTCCTGACACTCTAAATGATTTATTATTTAATTCAATTAAAAAAATTCATTTAACAATATTGGATGTATCATTTGATACAATAATATCATTTATTGAAAAAATGCCAAATATTCAAATAATAAAAATCAACGGATATACTGGGGGAGCAAATGATATTACATATTTTCAAAGTGAAAAATGGTTAAAATTATTATACATAAATAACAAAAAGAAAACAATTGATGTTAGTTTACGTTTCACACGAAGTTATCCTAGTTTATTAGAGAATAATACTGGTGTGAATATTTATGATGAGTTTAATAAGCTCGGCCTTCAACTTACTTCATCTACTATTAAAGGTGTTATTAATTTATGAGATACTTTTTTTGTATTATGATTATTTGAACAAATATATATATAATAAATTCAATGGGCAACTAGAGCTTTTGATTCTTCTAGGAAGCATTGATCGTAGTAGTAGCTGGTGATATTGTGTATGTTATGCTAGAGAGTATGAATATTTCATTTTCATCTATAATTCGGTTATTTAAAAACAAAGCACTGTGTACTTTTCTGTTTTATTTAAATCATAGATGAATAGAATTTCAATAAGAATAGAACTTTACTGGATATAATCTCTTAACAAAGCGTTTTCGATTGCTAAAATTAAGTCGTATAAATTAATCAATAAACAGCAAAAATTACCTTCATTGTTTATGAATGAAATTATATATTTACAATTTCGATTTCAGTTAATATGAAGAAAAGAAATGTGTTTAAAGATAATAACCATAGGATTATAATATATCTAAGATAAGAATATATAAAAATCTCTTTTAAATCAATCATCATGAATAATAAAAATATATGCTGAGATATAAAACATGCTCGTGTTTCATCCATAAGAGTCTATCGTATTTATATTTTAATGAAAATTTATTGTTCACGAATATCAGTCGGTATTTTATTTCTTATAATTGTAGAAATGTTAATCTTTAAAAAATAAAATCGTCATTCAGCTGACAAATATAAATCTAATCATACGTTTCGCCTACGCATATTTTATGTTTTGTATATATATATATGTATATATCTAAACGCATGAATGATTTGTTGCTCTTACGATTAGGTATGTAGTTTATTTTTCTTACCGATTTTGTCTTCAACATTATACCACAAATAAAGTAAAAATGAGTCTCGAACAACGATTTTTATTCTATATAAACACGACGTCACTTTTTTACATAGGTTAAATATCGATATTTTTTCCTATTATTATTCGATATTTACATTTCTTTTTTTTGTACATTAAGAAAAAAAATAATATTATATATATCAATGATATTTCATTGTATTTCTATAGTTTACCAACAATGATATCAATATTAAATTTATTTCAAAAATTAATCATTATAACATCTCTTCTTATATTTTGTTTATGTGAAAATCAAAATAAAATAATTGATTATGACAATCATCATAATACAGATGAAATGCTGGCTGCACTTGATTATGTACATGCGACATGTCCTGATATAACATATCTATATGATTTACCATTAAGAACTGATGAGGATCGTCCATTACGTGTTATTGTATTTTCTGATCATCCAAAACATCATGAAATACTTGAACCTGAATTTAAATATGTAGCAAATATGCATGGAAATGAAGTTGTTGGTCGAGAGTTATTATTAAAATTAGCTGAATATCTTTGTCAAGAATATAACAATGGTAATAAAGAAATCAAAAAATTAATTGAAAATACTCGTATTCATCTTCTTCCATCAATGAATCCTGGTAAGTTAATAATAAGAATAGAAAAAAGTAATTTCCTTCTCTATTATAGATGGTTGGGAACATGCTGTTCAAAATACATGGAATAATACAATCCCTGGGAAATATGGAAATGTTTCAACTATGATGAGAGTTAGATAATCGATTTGAAAAATAAAATTACGAAAATGTTTTATTATAGGAATATGGTGCAACAGATTGGCTTGTTGGTCGAAGCAATGCAAATGATGTTGATTTGAATCGAAATTTTCCTAATTTAGATGAATTTATTTATGAATATAATCATTTAGCTAATCATAAAAATAATCATCTAGATATTGAAACATTTCAAGCATTGATATCTGGAAAAGATTGTCATAATAAACCGGTAAGAAGAAAAAAATCAATAGAATTCATATCAATTATTTGTATTTGGTAGTATCAAGTTGAAACTATAATAGTAGCTTTTTGGATTATGCGAAATCCATTTGTTTTATCTGCTAATTTACATAATGGTGATCTTGTTGCTAATTATCCTTATGATGATTCAGAATATCATACTCAAATGTATTCGAAAACACCAGATGATACATTATTTCGGTATATCGATATTTTTATTCTTTTAATTTCATTTGTTTTAAATACTATAGCCAACTGGCTGAATCATATTCGTATACACATTTAAGTATGCGATCACAAAAGAAACCTTGTAGTACAGATGTTTTTGAAAATGGAATTACTAATGGTGCAGCATGGTAAATAAATTTACGAAAGAAAATATGATTCTATTGAAACTATTTGTATTCGTTAAGGTATCCAGTATGCGGTGGAATGCAAGATTTTAATTATTTAGCAAGTAATTGTTATGAATTAACACTTGAACTTGGTTGTAAAAAATTTCCACCTGGAAAAGAATTAACTTCACTTTGGAATCATAATCAAGGATCATTGGTTAATCTTATTTGGCAGGTAAATATTAATATATAATAGAAGAAGTTGTTTTTTTTTCGGTTTATTTTATTTTTGTATTTTAGACTCATCTAGGTATTAAAGGATTAATTCAAAATGAAGATGGAAAAATGATTTTTAATGCGACTATTAAAGTTTATCAAGCAGAGGGAGATAACTGGAAATATATTGATCATGATGTTACATCAAGTATGAAGTTGTTTTCTGAGAACTTTTTGTTTTATATTTTGATTCATAGATATTGGAGGTGATTATTATCGTTTACTTGTTGATGGTTCATATGCAGTTGAAGTTAGTCATCCGGGTTTTAAACCACAAACTCAATATATTGATGTTAATTATAAATCACAACAAACTGATGCTCAACGACTTGATTTCATTCTCGAATCTGTTTCAAGTAAACGAAGTAATCTTCGAAAAATTCTTAGAAATTTATTCAATAAAGTGAGAAGATAGTACCTTTTTTTATCCTTATATTTTTAAAAATCTTTATTATTTTTAGTATTAATTATTCAAAGAAGAAACAAAATAAAATAAATTATTCTTCTATTTATTTTTCTGACAATATACACAATTGGACAATATTCATCAACATAATAATATTTTATTATTATTAAAATTCATCTTTTTTCTTTTTCGAATTTATTGTTGTATGTAATAATGTCAATAAATGTGTATATTTAACAACCCGATTAATCGACTAATACTTGTTTAGTTATCATTGTAAAAAATGAAAATAGTTTTAAAACGTAGCATCGATGAATGTGAAAGAGTGTGTCAACTCGTCACGTGACGAGTTGACCTTTTCAGAAAAAAATAGGGCTTTCGTAACACCAAAAATAGCGATACCCAAAAATACAGGGACGTCGTAAAGAAATTTACATGGTGATCGTACAAGAGAGGAAAGCGGATTGCGGGATCCTCCGTATCCCGGATAGACGGAATCCGCTTCCCCCCCACCCCCCCCTTGGTATACTTTCCTTTCAGTAGAGAGAATTGACTCAACGATTCATATGAAGTCTGCATATTCCATATTCTTCTTCCACATTGGCTTTGAAAAAATCAATTGCCTTTAAGAAACCGATGTCTTATTCACTCATCAATCTTCTATCAACTTTTTCACTGCAAGAACATATTTCAGCTTATTCAATAATCATAGTAAGTTGAATTGATGGCGATTTGCGCAAATAGAACTATTTTTTATTTGTTACTTGACCAATTGTTTTTACAATTTATTTAATGATATATATTTTATTACATAAGATTGCCTTTGAATGAAAAACAAAATACAGTTTTCATGCCTTCTTCTTGCCTAGTCAAATATACTATTTAAACAATGTATTTATCATTTTGTATTATTTTATTAAAAATTTGAGCCTTAAGTCAATATTTTTGCATTAGGAAAATAGTTGGTTAAACGTTTCGATATTTGAAATCGATTGAAGATACGCAAACAATTAATTTTGGAACAATTAACTCGCGTTGCAATTCGTGTAAAATTATTCGTCACTCTTTTCAAAGAGTCATAATCGATGAAAAGTCTAATATTCTTCGATAAACATGTATTGGTATCAACTAGGAATTGTTCGACGTAATCATCATGAGTATCGATGAAACTTAATTTATTTAGATGAAGATATTCAATGATTGATAAATGTTTGTTATTATTATTTAATTTTTGTTTTTGTGGTGTTTGATTAACGATAGATAATTTTTCAAGAAGTGGAAATGCATGAGCAATTCTAATAAAAAATTCATGTTCGAAAGGAAGTTCATCAAATAATGATACTTGGCGAACAAATTTAAATAGTCCACCAGGAAAATTATTTGTTATATTGTCGTAATATGTTAATTGATATGGACATGAATAGAAATGACATTGGCCAGCTCTTTCTTTTGGAAAATAATCAACGCAAGAAATAATTTGAATATTATCAAAACCCTTGAGTGTATCCTGTATATATTCATTTGATAATAAATCAGCTTGGTCAAGGTAATAAATAAATGAACGAATGTTGAAGGTAAATTTGTTTAATCGAGGTAAATAATTAATAATATCATTTTTCAAATAATTTCCATCTAGACATGTTTTTTGACCAACACAAATATACAAAGCAAGTTCTTTTAAATTCATCATTCGTCGAAGAAGTGACACGATTGATTGATTATAACAAAATATTTCTGATTTACACATCAATGAAAAACATTCGATATTAGGCAGTGAGTTCTAAAAACAAACAATATTCAATAAATATTTTATTATTATTTAGACCTTTCAAAGTAATATACCATCTTTTTAATCAATTCTGACGAAGGAGAAAAAACGTAGATTTTAACATAAAATCTACGAAGTTGACTTAAACAACCATTCAGCAAATAAAGACAATCGGTGAAGTCTTTCACATTGATATGCAACTCCAGTAGAGTTGGAGAGAAAAATCTTGGAGTTTTCTCACCCAATGATAATCGTGGCAAATCTGATTCCATGAATGGATGACAGTTTAAGTAACATAAATTATTAAACACATTTAAAATATTTGTAAAGATGGATGTTACAGAATCACCTTCCGATCTGTTCTCTTTTTTATCAACCATTCTAATGAAAAGTGATCGAATCTTTTTGTTGAAAACTTCGAATAACGGAGATTCATCTAAATACATAAAAAAAATCAACTTTTACTATCAAGAAAAAAAATGAATTTTTCTAGAAATTATGTCACGTGTCATTTAATATCTTTGAAGAAGTACTTTTTCTTCAAAGAAAACAATGTTGACAAAACTTCAATTAAATATCTTACCAGTAAAAAAACGCTTAGCATTCTTTTCGTCAATATTGTAAAGACCAAGACCATATAAATTAGGATAATCAGCAGCAAGAAGAATACATTCTACAGATGATGTTTCAAGTGTAAGAAAATTGATTTTATAACGGATTTGAGGCAATATTTGTAAACAGAATTGATTAAGTACCGTATCTACTAATGGATAAATAATATCATTTGAATGTTTCCCTAATAAGACTAAATATCTAGTAAATATTGAATCAGATAGAATTCTATCTAATTCTCTATTAATACCAAATAGAGTATAAAGTAATTGAATATTGCTTAGTTTCTTGAAAATCATCATAAGCAATTCCTCAGGCAAACCGATTAATTGAATAATTAAATTTTTCATGTTTGTATGAATTTAACAATTCGTTCTCAGGTTATACACATCAACAGCTATTTACATATATATAGTTATCGTCTATTCACTTCTTTTTTTTGACCGCTGCCTGCTGTCGATGAAAACAAAGAATGATATTTTTTTTCTAGCCTAATCGACAATCAATGAATGAATAAATGACGTAATTTCTTTTTCATTTAGTCAACAATTCCCATACTATGCATAATTTCAATAAAAATGCCTCATAGTTATTTTATTTAAATGGAATATAAGAACAGATATAAAAGAAAATGATGCTTTTAATACTAGAAGATAACATAAATATATAATACAGAATATTTAACTGATTAAACTTTTATAAATTTTTCTAACGATTTTAATTGTTGGTCAATATTAATTATATCATTTGCATTAGTTGATTCTAGTTTTATCTCAAGATATAAATAAATAAAGAATTATTGAAATAGAATAATAAATTACTTAGCTGATCATTATAATGTGAGTTTTGTGAAAGTGTATTTGATGCTCTTTTACGGAAAACAGGTGGAAATGATACACCTTCAATAGCCTTTTTTTTTTGTAGAATATATAAAACATTTACTTATATCTTTAATTTACATATAGAATCAATAGAATCTTTTACATTGATTAAATCCACTTGTTCGTTTTCAACTTGGATTTCGCTGAGAACCTGATGTACATAAATCACTATCATTATCACTACCTAACAACTAAATATGATAAAACTGGATAAATAATTTTTTACTTGATCATGCTTTATTTCCATCTCGTGCAGAAAAATCTAGAAATAAATAAATCTTCGTTAGGAAATCTAAATAATGTACCGTTGGTATCCGAATCAGAACTACGTCGAACACCACTTCGTTTTCATCGAGCTTCTCTATTTCTATAAAACAATTCTTCTAATAAAAATTAACAAATAATAGTTACAGTTGAATATCAATTTGTCGTAATTTAAGATTTCTTTCACGAATATAAGCTGTTGAACTGAATCGATCACGAGAATCTAATTGAGTATTTTTAGAATTTATAAATAAATATTAAAGGTTCGGGTGATAGTGATCGTTTTGTAATACTTGATGAATGATGACCAGTTTCACTTCTACTTTGAAGAGAATGATTTTAATTTGAACGATATTTGAACAATTACAAGCGGAAATTGTTAGTAATAAATGATCAGGACGATGTTGACGTTGATCACCTGATGATGGACGAGATAATGATGGTGATCATTGTTGTGAGGAGAATAACTAAAAGAATTTATTTTATTAATAAAAATCCTATGGATCATTCATTATTCTACCCGTTAAGTTGAATTGATCCTTTTTTAGGTAAAGTATATTCACTTTAAAGCATTATTTGATGTAAGAATTCAATTTGTTGTTAATATTAATCATTCATTTGAATGATTTAATGGTAATTGTTCACGAGATTCATTATTTTGTTTTTTTAAACGAGTACATCTATCTAAAAGCATAGATTAAAATAAGAATAAAGATTAAATTCTTACTCTCGTTGAAGACGTACTATATCACTACGTTCAACATCAGATTCAAGTGAAAGAAAGATTTATTAAATTTTATTTTGAAAAAATCCTAAAAAAATTTTAACTCGAGATTTTAGTAAATAATTCTCAGCTGTTAATTGTCGAATTAAAATAACAGAATCCGGTTCTTCATAATATGGAAGTGATAATGAATAATAAATTCTATCATATTCAGCATTATATGTTAAAATTAAATAACGTTTATTTGCTAATAGAATATTTATTGGTTGATGATTTAGAATTCTACTTGGACCTTGACGTTTGTTACGTAATACTTTATTACTTAAATATGGATAACCATTTAATTTAACATTCTCTTCATAAGTTCCTTCTCTAAATGCATCTCCAACCCTTTTTGCACTTAATGCCATAACTATTAACGAATAAATGTAGGATAAACTAATTTAAAAACTCTACTTGATGAAGATAAAATATCTTTCTCAGAATATTTTTTTCAAATTGTAATATAAAGAATAAATTGTTTAATAAAAAAAACTAATAATTTTTTGTTGGTTGTCCTATTAAAATTTTTCATCCGAGAAAGAATTTCTATATTTCTAATATTGCTGTTTATTTTGATAAAGGCTTTGCTTCAGTGTATTACTACTACGTACACCAAGATGCTCTCTTCTTTTCTTTCTTATTCTGATATATCCCAGTGAAAAATTGTCAAATTATACCTGATTATGTATAATTATAATCGAATTTTTGTGCAACAAAATCAGGATTATAATCGATTG